CGGAATGTGTTATTCCTTGTCCAGAGGTAGAAATAAGGAGAAAAAAAGAGATGGTCCACAGGACCATCTAGTTTGAATTTTAGATAGTTCTCCTAAATTTGAAATTGTTCTCTTAAAGTAATGCGGCGTGCAAGCATAAGAAAGAGATTTTACATGGTGATAAAATGGTTTAATTATTCACCTACATTACAATGAATGTATCAAACGATACAGTAATTGTTTATTCACTTTAATAGTATATTGGAACGTGGAAACTTCAAAGAAAATTACCGTAAAATGGGACCAAAATATTCAATGGTCCGTCGGACCATCGACTTTGAAAATCTGATGGTCCTCCTGATTATTTGATGGCCCCGGACCATCGCTTATTTCGACCCCTGTGCGGGGTTATGCATCCTGGTCTACCGGTAGGTATTTACATCGTAGCATACATATAGAATTACCATCTGGCTTGTGGGACGGTCTCCTGCTATCTGACTCCATCAGCATCTTCTTGGAATTTGAAGGAGCCTCTCCCCCGTCAAACATCTCTACATTACCTCTCTTATGCTTGTTTGCCACGTTACCAGCTCCTAGAGATGCCACCTGCACATAAAGATGCTTTTAGACAAAACTCCTTATATTATAGGAACATTGATTACACCTACTTATTCAAACGAGGAAATATTATCGAGTTTATTCATTAGTTCACCTGTCTATCCAGTGCAATCTCTTGCATAGATGTATTTGATCCCTGTTTTAAATCATGTGAGCTTCTTCTCTTCACTAGATTCGTGCTTGCCTCTGTTGTTGGAGATGCCCGATCGAATCCCTCTGTCTGCACATCAGCACTGTTCTTCTTTTTGTCACATATCGTCCTCTGTTCTCCATCTTTGCCAAAGAGACGACGCGAGCCACCTCGCCTGAGAACACACAGCAAAGATAGCAACGAGACAATTCCCAATCCACATTTTCTTACCAGTCTATAATACTGCTAAATACTAGTGATGAGAATCGGTTTCATTTTCGTAATTGACAACAGTTTTACTATGAAACCAACTGATTATTGATTATAACTGGTTTTTTCGTCGAAAGTTATAACAAAAGTAAAAGGTTCTTTACCAGTAGGCCTATGTGGTTTGTTAATTGTTTGGAAATATATGATCATATATATATATATGTTTTTGGACGGTCTATATTATTCAATATAGGGGCGTTCAAGTTGGTAAACAAACTACATCATTTTGGCCGCCACTGCCGCAGTCTGCGTCCTCCCGGCCCAGAAAGCCACTTGCCTGTAACCCGTGCTGACACATGTTTTACATACGCATTGCGCATCGCTAAAAAGAAACGCTACTCGACCCATTTTTTTTTTAAACAAGAATATATTACGCCTCGTCTGTCTACCACACCGACACGACGCACCAAACTGTTTGCAAACTCGCCCTTTCACCAGCTTGTCAGCTAAGTATATTGCTGTTTCACCCACACCACGTAATTTCTGACAAACCCCTGCTTTACCTGCGCAAAGCTTGTAACCATGCAAAAGTGGCCCCTCCAGTCTCCCAGTCTCCGTTCAGCGCCGTCCGTTAGTTTGCAGGTAATGCACATATTCGATACAGCACTCGTCATCTATTTATTATCCTATCTAACCATCCTAGCGGCCCTCCCGGTTCCTATCTCTCCGAGGGGGAATGGTGAGCGATCTTCTCATTTTGTTGTTGTTACTTCATTAATCCTCCTGTTACACGAGGTCATTGGTCACGAATATATACATGCTTTGATATCGTTATGCTTCCAGTGGAACATTTCCTCATTAAAAAAAAAGAAATTATTTTTTTTGGGTTAACAACGAAGTGTCTAGTGGCTAGCCCATTACTGAGAGGGACTCAGACAGGAATCTGGAGAGGGCTGTTTGATGAATGGGCATCCATCTCTGGTGTTAGATTCTTGTTTTCACCAGTAAGGGTGGCAATGTAAATTGTCCGATGCCTTGGGTTGGTGTTGGTACCCTCACATACCCCAGATCGATCTTCTCCCTGTTAACCCCGAGTCGTGAGCAATGGAAGATCTTTTGGTCCACGGTCTCATTGGCAAGTCCACAGTCACAGAGGAGACTATCGCTTGCCCTGATCTTGAACATGTGGTCTTTCAGTTTTGTATGTCCAGTTCTTATCCGGTTGAGCTTGGTTTCCGTTCTGCGGTTGGTGAGGCTGCAAACGCTGCTTACGTTTACCTTTGGCTCCAGACGATGAAAATACCTGCCTGTTTCAGAGCTGTCCCATGAACCCTGACATCGATCTACCAAGTCTTTCTTGATTTCTCCTTTGGCTTCAGAGAAGGAAAGCAGAGAGTGGTCTTCAGATTCAACCATTTCTGCGGCCTCGAGGGCTGCCCGTTTCGCTTCCTTGTCTGCGAGTTCGTTTGCGGCCAGGCCTGCATGTCCTGCTACCCAGCAAATGTCGATCTTGATGTTATTTGTGTATAGCTGGTTAAAGCGTGTATTGCGAGTTTTTTAGCTCAGAAAAACTAAATATAGCTGAATATAGTCTCACCTGACAGTGGAAATATCACTGATTATACCAACATTCAAAACACCAAGATTTTATGCAGTTATAGCATAGAAAAATTGATTTGACCACATCATACCAGCAATAAATTTTATCGTGTCCCGACTCTCAAAATCACAAATGGCGTCTTCAAACAAGTGCACATAATTAAAACAAAAGGGCGTGCAATTCTGTTTGGTAAATAATATTGAGTTTTTACATAGAAATCATATCAATACACTAGAATGGCAATCACGTGACTTTTGCAGGGAACGCCACGAAATTTCTGGCCGCCATCTTGTGACAGTAAGCAACAGCTGTGTTTACATTGCGCGATGCTAAGAATACATAACGTTTAGTCACTATATATTCACGAGATTAAGTTCACGGGTACACGCACGTACACGCATATACACGCAGATACACGCACGTACACGTACACGCAGATACACGCACGTACACGCAGGTACACGGAGATACACGCACGTACACGCGGGTACACGCACGTACACGCAGATACACGCACGTACACGCGGGTACACGCACGTACACGCA